GCTATGATCTGCTCTGATATGATAGCAATGATATAATGGTGATGTGTTGGAATATTCGGAAATGGCCGGTACAGTACTGCCACTTGACACCCACCCCTTGCACCACATTTTTCTCCGCACAGTCGAGCTCCTCCGGGCGAGTACCATGACTCACACGGCTGGAGCCTGATAGAAATGTGGAGCATTGGCCTGTACTAACCTCCGGTAATCAAATATGGCAAGGGAAATCCCCTGTAAATGGAGGTTTTAATGGGAACATCCTTTGTAAGTGGTAGATTTTCGATTGCTATGTTTGATTACCAGAGGGAAGTGTGAGATTGGATTCGCAAATTACAAATTACCACTATTGCGTGGAACCTCCCCTAATTTATCAACCAGGTTTTTTTCTTTATTTCGGGGTTGACATTTCCGGAGATAGTTCACCATTTTCATGACAATTCAGGACATTTCGTTGGCGATTTGTAGATGGAAATCATAGCCATTGCCCATCCATCGTGCAGGCGGTGGTATCTATGCTAAGAACTATGCAAGGCCCTCTGGGCCCGGCCTGAGCCAGCCTGGCTTGTCGAGCTTGTCGAGTGCCGGTCTCAGGACATTTTGCCGATTCAGTGATTCTATACCTTGAATCCACTTGATTCTTAGAATCTGATTCGACCCCCCAACCAACAACATCCAACAACCAATGCTTTTTGGGCATATGACGCATCTTTTATTGGGGCTTCCATGAATTCTGGCTGTGGTGACACCTGGCTGAGGACCGGTTGGTGGCTCCGTGGCACGTGACTACGATCGTGGCTACGAGCATCGTGGCTACGAGCGCGAAATGCAGACTGTTCCCCACAGCAAAGTGGCAGAGGATGTTAGATGGCCTGGATCTCGGTGGCTCAACACTCGAATTCTCAAGATGCGCTGAGCAAATTTACCCTCTGGTAAACTAACATAGCTATGGAAAATCACCATGCTATCAATGGGAAAATCCACTATTCATGGCCATTTTCAATAGCTATTTTGACATAACCAGAGGGTAAGTTTCAAGAAATGTCAGACATGTCAGACATGTCAGACGCTTCCCAAGGTTTGGTACTTTGGCTGACACGGTGCGAGTCTCGACATCGCATCCATCAGTTGAATCCAGTTGAACCCAGTTGGAGATGGCCAGGTCCCTGCTCAGTACCTGGACCAGGACTACTGCATCACGTCCGAAAACCCGGGAACTGGGCAAACAGTGCAAATCCTTGGCCATTGCGTGGTCTTATATTAGGGACCCATATGTCTATATATGTATATATATGTATATATATATATAATATGAATATATATGATATGATATACATATTATATATATGATTAGTATAACATATATATATATACACATAATACAAATGATATGTATACTACATCCACAAATTCCCATGATGATATTCCCAGCGGACGGCCTTTCAATGCCAAGTGGATGGCCGTCAGGTGCAGCCTTCCCCATGCCCAATGTGGTGCCTTGATTGGACGAGGAGGGGAGAACATCAACGAGGCAGGGAGAAATCATGCAAGATTTCCAATGATTTCCCATAAATGACCAGCAAATATGGGACCCCTCATTGCTGCCAACATGGCGTCATCTGTGGTTCTCTTCCTCATTCTGGGGTGGGAACACAGCTGAACGAGTTTACCATACCATACCAGTGGGAACATACCTGGGAATATCATTGGAGCACATTAGATATATTTTTGCAAGAATACGATAAATGACTTTGTCAATATGCTACCCCACATATCCAAATGTTGATGGGATTTATCACTATTCTCATTATCAAAACGGCCATTTGCAGACAGACCCATATTGTGTTGTTTCCAGAGCAAGAAAGACCTTGACAAAAGTGAGCCACTAAAATAGCGGTCCGTGGTCGGCATTGGAGTGAATCATGTTCATGTGCCTTTACATCCATGCATCGAAGTTGAGCGTCGAAAAAGCTCGCCAAGTCGTTTAGTGTCACCAGGTTGAACGAAAAACAGGGACAAACGTTCAACTGAGCAAGAAAGAGCAGGACAATGGTGAAGTCAAAGCTTTCATGGATGAGTTCGATGGAGCTACACTGGTTTTCCAGTTGTCTTTTCAAAAGATCATCAATATGCATAGGATTGGAATGTAATAAATGATCATATCAAATATATCAGATATGCATATAATCAAACAGTTCTAAATGATTGGAATGCACAAAACCAATCTGTCCACAAAATATGTCTCGGTCAGGACTCAGATCATCGCACCTTGACGATCATTGGTCCCTTGATCTCGGCTGGGAACACAGTCGTTCTTTGAAGAAAAGGGTTTTTGGAAAATAGGCGTATCCCCAAAAATCCATTGGTTTAACTGTCATTTGAAACGTTTCCCATTAACTTTATTAACATCCATTGTCCCATTGCCATATGGGGTCCCCATGTGCCACGGCTTGGCACGTTAGGTCTATGCCGCTCACCTCTTGATGATGCGACATTTCAATGATGCCTTGAATGCGGCAAGCCAAGCCGATGCCAGCTTCAGTGGATCCCTTTTCGCGACTGGTCTCCTTCCTGATATATCTGATATACCCTCTGGCTATTTAACATAGCCATGGTATAGATGGCCCATTTATAAATGATTTTCCCAGCTAGAAACCTCCATTTATGGTTGGGATTTTCCATGGCTATGTTAAATAACCAGATGGTATCTGATATGATCTCCTCAATGGTGTTTAATCATTTTGTGTAATAGCATCCTTCTGAACAATTGTGATAACTGTGAGTCACTGCATATCATCACTTTTCTCTGCTTGACTCAAGGCTGGACCTCCGGCTCTATCTGGTCCTCCAGATGGAGGGAAAGGGTCTCGGGCACCTTACAGTGCAGGACCTTGTGGCCTGTGGCTCTAGGTTTTTTGAACATAAGACATTGCTCAAAAATTCAAGATATCTAAGGCCCGGAAGACCGCAGATGGACACATTAATCTTGGTAGGAGCCATCCAATTTTATGGGTGCTGACTCATGCTGTACCCAAATGATTTGTAAAAGATAAATTGAATTTTCATTTTGTGTGTTTCGCTGCAGGATACCGACGATAAGCCAACAATATCAAAAAATAATAGAACATATGTTATTATATTCTAACTATTTCTAATATATAGGCATCTTCTAAATAAATATATCCATCATTGGGTACTTGGGTTAAGTGCGGTGGATATATTTGAAGTCGTGCGAAACCGGTACCTTCATACGATTTAGCTAAAATATGCCAAATATATACAATATATATATATAAATAATTATGTGTATATATATATATATATTTCATATTTTTTTAATAAATTAAAAGCAAAAATATGATTATTAGTATTAATATTAATATTCTTATAATTAGGTATAATATATATATATACCTATAATATAGAAAATATTTAAATGATATATTTATAGTTATTTCAAAATTATATATATATATATTTAAAAAAACATATAAATATATTTAATTTTATATTATATATAATTAATAATTATTTAGTATTATGATAAATATATATATATATATTATATGGATTTTAATATAATTATAATATATATTTTCATAAAAGATAATATTTTTATGACCTGTGGTGTTTTCGTTTGGGGTTAGCAGCGCAATTCTTTGTTACTGCGATTCTAACTGATGTTGGTACTGCCATAATAAATACTGAAAATAAATCAGATACAAATTGATCCATGATGTCCACCGCTTTACCAACAAGACTTGAGCCTGAGCATGCAGGCTCGCACTATCAAATATGCTATCAGATATTAAAGCGCCCTTCCCCAATCTCCTCTTCGTCGAAGGGCGCTTCATACTTGCCGGCCTCTTTGATGCTGGTCTTTTCGTTATGGCTCCTTCCCTTGACGAATAAATTATGGAAAATCCCTGAGAGAGCCAATGCGCGCAATCCACAACCCTGAGACAGCATATAAAGATGAAAGTGTTGGCCACAAACCCAAAACACTATAAGTGCTGAAAGCACTAACTTTCTCGAAAGTCCCTTATACATATATATATAATTATGATTTATATAATTGAGGGTTAAAATTATAATGATTTTTTGATTTTGAATTTATATTATTGGATTAAATTCTTGTGAATGGGATTATAGCGATTATGGTTATATTTATGAGATTTATAGTGATTAAATTTATATATTATTATATTCTATATTATTTATTGAGATTGTTTGAATATATTTAATTTATATGTTTTTTTTAAAAAATTATTATGTTTAAATATATTTTGTTTGGTTGGGACGAATATTTATTTGTTTTATTTGATGGTTTGGACTAAAAAAAATATGGAGATGTAGGGAATTATATTATTTATATTGGGATTTATTATATATTTTTAAATATCCATAATCGGTGGGTACTTCCCATGATACCTTTCTAAATATCTATTAATAGGCATCATCTTAGGGGGGATTACTAACACGGGAGTTATGCGATAGCACGCAACAGGTGCCTCCATTTTCCATTTGTCCAGGTAATGATTTACAATTCAAATTCAGGGTCTGGTAATTTCTAAGATTGGGATATAGAAATTTCCAAGTTCGATATGTTTTGGTATCAAGAAAATAGATAATATCCTGGGTGGTAATTTTATAGTCCAATTTATTAATAAATAAAAGAAAATATAATTATAATTAGTAACCTATGCTAATATATAAGTAATAATGGATATTTAAAAAATCCTAATATATATATATATTTAATATAATATATATATATATTTAAATATATATATATTATTAATTTTTATAAAAAATATTATATTATTATTTTTTAAATATATTATTTAAAATAAATATATAATTATATAATTTTATTTTTATATATTTAAACATAATTTAATATTTATAATTTTATAATATAATAATAATTTATAATATTATTAATATATTTTCTTAAAAATAATATATATATATCTCTCTTTTTTTTTAGATAATATATATTTAAATATAAATAATTAATATATTATTATAAATTAATTCCCATATTCCAAGGCTCTTTATATTCCATGCCAAAATAGCTCCGGAAATTTGGAAAATAATGAACGACCTTTAATGATGAGAATAAGGTTGTGTGACCCTTGTCAGGCGCTCCCTTGTCACGTGCTATCATGTCCAATTGCACATGTTTAATCCCGCTGAGAACCTTCTCAAGCAATGATTTCTTGAATAAATATAATCATAAAGTCTTGTTTCTCTTATCAATCATTAATTTTTCTCTAGGATCTTTTAAAACCATTGGATAAGCTGTTCAGCTTATTTTTTGACGCGTTTGGCTGGCGGCTCAGCTTCCGCATCTATAAACGGGGCCAAGTCTGGATTATGCTGTTCTTCCTCGAACCCAAATAATACCATATTTCCACTTAATGCAATTACATTGAGTAGGATGCCACCCTGAGGGACGATGCCCCCCCCCCGTATGCTTTGCGTTCCTGCATGTGGGCTTCTGCAGGCATATGTTAATATCATTTTTGACCAAATCGAGGCTGCAAATTCCATTCCACATACCCACAAGGCATCACACTCTATCGCGCACGACTAAGACAACAATCGAGAATTTCCATAGCCTCCACAGGTCAAAAGTATCAAAATTTCATGGAATGCGATTGTATGCGCGACTGCTCAAAACGCTGGAAAAACAACAATTTCCCCCATATTCCATATTATCAGATTCCAGAGCATTTTACCTCCAGAGCATTTTACCTCCGAAGAGGGAAAAAAAACAAGATGAAGCCCACGAACCCGAATGCTCACACGTATGTTAATATGGTACAGATGTCAAAACACATGGTTATGCAGTCACGCACAATACCTTTCTGCAATAGTTTATTTGAACCCTTGTTACCAGTCTGCAGTGTGGAGTGGAAAGTGTAGAGTGTGGAGTGTGGAGTGTGGAGTGTGAAGTAAGGAGTGTGGAGTGTAAAGTGTGGAGTGGGGAGTGTAGAGTGTGTAACGTGTAGAATGCGGAGTGTAAAGTGTAGAGTGTGGAGTATGGAGTGTAAAGTGTAGAGTGTGGAGAGTAGAGTGTGGAGTGTAGAGTGTGGAGTGAGGAGTGTAAAGTGCAAAGTGTGGGGTGTGGAGTGTGGAGTGTAAAGTGAGGTGTGTAAAGTGTGGAGTGAGGAGTGTGGAGTGTAAAGTGAGGAGTGTAATACTGTAAAGTGTGGAGTGAGGAGTGTGGAGTTTGTAAATTGTAGAGTGTGAAGTGTAGAGTGTAAAGTGTAGAGTGTAAAGTGTAGAGTGTGGAGTGTAGAGTGTAGCGTGTGGAGTGGTGAGTGGAAAGTGTAGAGTGTGGTGTGTAAAGTGTGGAGTGTGGAGTGTAAAGTGTGGAGTGTAGAGTGTGGAGTGTGGAGTGTAAAGTGTAGAGTGTGGAGTGTGGAGTGTAAAGTGTGGAGTGTAAAGTGTGGAGTGAGGAGTGTAAAGTGGAAAGCGTGGAGTGTAAAGTGTAAAGTGTGGAGTGTAGAGTGTATAGTGTAGAGTGTAAAGTGTAGAGTGTGGAGTGTGGAGTGTAAAGTGTGGAGTGTAAAGTGTAGAGTGTGGAGTGTGGAGTGTAAAGTGTGGAGTGAGGAGTGTAAAGTGTGGAGTGTGGAGTGTAAAGTGTGGAGTGTGGAGTGTGGAGTGTGGAGTGGAAAGTGTGGAGTGTGAAGTGTGGAGTGTAAAGTGTGGAGTGGGGAGTGTAAAGTGTGGAGTGTGGAGTGAGGAGTGTAGAGTGTGGAGTGTGGAGTGTAAAGTGTGGAGTGTAAAGTGTGGAGTGTGGAGCGTAAAGTGTAGACTGTGGAGTCTGGAGTGGAGAGTGTAGAGTGAGGAGTAAAGTATAAAGTGTGGAGTGTACAGTAAAGTGTGGAGTGTGGAGTGCGGAGTGTGGAGTGTAGTGTGGAGTGTGGAGTGTAAAGTGGGGAGTGTGGAGTGTAGAGTGTGGGGTGAGGAGTGTAAAGTGTAAAGTGTGGAGTGTAAAGTAGGGAGTGTAGAGTGTGAGGTGAGGAGTGTAGAGTGTAAAGTGTAGAATGTAAAATGTAGAATGGGGAATTATTCGTATAAACACGGCGACACCATAGGAAAACCAGAAATTCGAAACGAAGCACGTGGGTACAGAAAAACAAGCATTGCTTGCGAAATTTCCTCTAATTTTGATATTTTCAATAAATTGGAATATTAGAAAGTGCTATACTTGATTCGAATAGGAGATATTTTCCAGCTTCCCGCATAGAGACGGCGATGCCATAGGAAAACGAATCTCTCGAGATATGCTACGTGGACGCAGGAAAAGGAGCATTTCGTGCGAAATTTCCTCCAATTTTGATATTTTCCATACGTTATTAAACTGGTTGGATAAACTACGTGGTTTTCTACACGTTATTAAATTGGTTGGAATGTTAGAAACTGCTACATTTGGCACACAAAAAAACAGGACAACCTGCGTGGAAACATTCGAAAAGGAGAGGTTTTGCG